CTGTGAAAATGACTGTGCTAAAATCAAAGAACTTATAGAAAATAAATGAAGTAAAAAAAAAAAATACACAGTATAAATACAATCAAACCCTACTTATTATTCATTCAAAATATTTCCCTGATTCTGATTGGCTAAAAGCACAAGCATAATTCACCATAACCAGTTGCTGATGACCAAATTTGGAAGAATTTTGTGTTTAACAAGGAAATGACGTCAAAAATGCATCGTTTTTGCAGGTTAATGCACCGTTAACCGAGAAGACCTGGCGACGCCGTTGAGTTGTTTTGGTTGTGAAAACAAAAATGATGGACAATTCACTCATTTCAAGAGTAAGAACCAGGCAAAAAAATAACTAAAAACACGGCAAGAACAGCAAGAAGACAACTCAAAGGGCGACATCTGCTATTTGGAGAATATTTGCGAAGCTGAACAACCCTAAAAGTGCACTATCAAAGATGAACTTAACATCGATGGATCGATGGAGGTAAGCATGTTTTAGCTACGTTTTTAAACTAGGAATTATTTTGAATGAATAATAAAACACCTATGGCCTCGACGGATAACACCCTCCTCGATCTTCATAATTCTTCATAAGATACTCAGCCTCATTCATTAACGGTTAATTTACGGACACCTATATTATGGACAGTTTTCCCTGTCCTGGGCCCACACATTTTCTCTCAATTCAACCTGCTGAATACAGACACACTGTTAATGCAGACACTTTCTATGGCCCCCTCAGTGTCCGTATTAACAGGGTTTCACTGTATATAGAAGAGAGATTTTGCCTCTTATTCACCATTTTCCCAGTTTCGCCTATAATGCAACTTGATTGCCACCCCAAATGTTGCATAACCCTTGTTTTTTTTAATTTCTCTTGGGTACTACGGTGGTCCCTGTAGACAATATGTATGTAAAATTTGGAGGGGCAAAAAGGGTGTAGTATGGGGGATGTAGAATTGCTGGGAGTTAATTGTTTCCTTCTGAACCCCAAAACGTGCCTCATAGAAATTATTTCTCTAAAGAATGAAATTATGTTTAGAGAAGGCTGAATATCAAGTCTAATAGGAAGAATAAAAATAAAAAGAAGCACGGAATTTCATCATTACTTAAATCTCAATGAACAAACATGTACGGTTGCATTTTACTTTTAAGATCCATGTGTTGTTTCAGAAACAACTACATGTACCTGCTCATAAAAGGTCAGAAATCAAAGAACCTGATATGATTTGAAAATCAACACATTTCTGTTGCTATGATATGCAATTTACAGTGTATAACTTAGATCACTGCTTCTAATGATATGAATCTATAGATTTACAGTTGAACCTCTGCTAACTGTCAGCCACCTCTCTGCAATGGCCACTTATTTTCGTCCCAGCTGACAAAAAATCCACACATTGACTCTTGTGTAAAACCTCTCTACAGTGGCCGCTTTCTTCTGTCCCCAAGGTGGCCGTTGTAGAGAGGTTCAACTGTAATCATATTTCAAAACTCTGTGAAAAAGATTAATCTGAAGTCATCTCAGAAAGCACCTGAGATCAGTGATATAATATAATGTGTGACCTCTTACCATTACAGGTACTAGTTTCTAATTTGATAACTGTGTTTCTGGAGGAACCAAACACAATCTCAGTCAGGATGTAAACAGCTTGTTTCTGGTAGAGCTTTGACTCATGAAACAAGTCCAGGAAATAATCACATATAAGTGGAAGGTTTCCATAGCAACCAAGCACATGGCATACTTGGTTGACAGCCACCATAACTTTCTCATCAGTGAAATGTTTGAAGCGGTATGTTGGATATTTACTCCCACTGAACTGGTCTGCTGGATAAGACATTGGATTTCCCCCTTTTGTTTCAGAGGGTGCAACTGCAGTTTCTGAAAAAGAAGGTGTCCTTTCTTCTACAACTCCAACATCACCAACATCAAACTCTAGCACCTGTAATAACATTAAAATACACACCATTTATAAATTAGTTATAAACTGTGAGTCAAAAATTATTAGCTTTAGAAGCTGACTCAATTTTTTCTCAACAGTTTCTGAACACACATGTAGTTAGTAGACTTAAAAGTCCTTTATTTTTTCCTGATTGGTTATGCCATTTTAAACGACTTTTACTACCTGTTTGGTGCAAAATTCAACAACACCAGTTGAAAATTCCACCAGCGACATCATGACAATTGACCAACAGGAGAGTGAGTGATATTGGACACCAACTCCTGACACAGCATATGTCAATCATTTTTTCCCGCATGAATTTATTTAATATGATTCAAATTCATCCAGGTGAAACAAGTCGAGTATTAGTGACAATGCTGCTGAACCTCATTTTAAAACTCATTTCGCTTGCTTTTAAGAACTTACACTAATTATGGGAGGTCAACTTGAAGTTAGGTTATATAAGTGGCAAAAAGTTTATGTTGGGAGCTCCTTATAAGAATGTACAATGTAACCGTCAATTGGTAATATCAGGGTTCACAAAACTAGCCCCAAATATTCTAAAATGTTATTGTGCTGAAAATGAAAAAAGCCAATCAAACATGAGATACATCTGTACGACTGTAGATGTATGTAAACAACAAGCAGCATTTAACCCTTAATGTCCCACGGGTGACCAACATCAATTTTTTCCCAACAACATCAGTCGATCACCAAGAGTAAAGGTTACTAAATTAATTACTAAAGGGAGAATGCTTTGATCAGATCAGTCTGGAGAATTAGTACGTGAATCTTGGGGCGCAAAGGGTTAATTGAGGTTCCCTACACACCTTTGCCAAATGCTTTCACTAAAAAATATTGAGAATTTTCATGCATCACGAATAATTCCTCAAATTTCTTCAAATTCACATAAAAATCTAGTAAGTAATAGATTCATGTGCCATGAAAAATTGAAAATAACATTATTTTAATTCACGGATTAATGTTTTGTATCAAGGACTCACCCGATCAAAAAAAAGCAAAATTAAATCTTAGACACTAAGCTCTGTTACCTGCACCAGTGCAAGAGAAAGCCTCTTGAGATGTGAAGATGAATTTAGCAAACTGCTCAACCTGTTTCCAAGAAGGTTCATGTAGCCAAGGACAAGATTTAGACTTTGGATTTTTTTGGCATCATCAGCTGTTCTCATCAGTCTTGGAAGTGCTGTCAGAGTTGAATGAAGGTTCTCTTCTAGCAATGCATTCAATGTGCTGGGACCTTAAAAAATAAATGTGAAATGCTCACAAGTACAGATTAAGTACCTGCACTGTAGACCCTTCCTTCCTTGAGGAAAAAAATTTATAGGTCTCGACTGCTGTACATGTATGTGCTCTCCTCCTCTCCAACTGTTTCCTTCATATTCAAATTTCCAAACAACAGACTGTATGTGTGAAAAATGCAGTCAAATGTAGGGGGTGGGAGGGTTACTGCAGTGTGATTCAATGGTGCTAAAGGTAGAAGATGAAGATGCACATGGGCTATATGACCAAGATGGACGGAGATGTTCCCCTGAATTCTGTAACATGAGGCATCTGAGATTATTATATACATACTGAGAAATACTCACCAAAAAGCTATGTCGTAAATTTTCGTATGCAAATTAGTTATAGCCAATCAGAGGAGCGAACGATGGTTTTCACACGTGAAAAAAATGATACGCGCAATCAGAATCGCGAATGATGTTTTTTCGCATGTGAGAAAAATGATACGTCCAATCAGAAGCCACAAAGGTGTGTGAGTTTCGTGCCAAAATTCCCGCTTTTTATTGCAGCTTGCAGCACTGCTTCGCACACATTCAATGAGAAAAGTTTTAATCGCTAAAAAAGTGAAAAACATTTTGGAAATGGAGTGGAATAGTTTCATTTGTTTCACTGTCGATAAAGAAAACGGTAGAGAGCCGGCAAAACAACAGCGGAAAGGGAAAAACAGAACGAGACGTAAGCTTTTGTTGTGCTTTTTGTCGGAGCTACTTTGCCTTTCATTTAAGCTTAAGCTTATATTGAAACCGACCATTTTACTTAAATTCACCCATTTTCAATTGTGCATTGAGAACAAACACTTAAGATTACTTACAGTTCTTGGATTACCTCATATCCTCACTGTCATTTATGTTTTTAACAAACATTTTTACTAAAAAGCTGATACTTTATTTTTGTTGTCATTTTGCAGTAAGTGTTTAGCGGCAAATTTCAGCATTTGTTAAAGATTTAAAATAAAAAGGCCGCCAAAATGATGAATGTCTCAGTATGTTTGTAATAAACACAATGCCACATGGAAAGTGCTTTGTAGGGTATTTACGCACTCGTTGTTTTTGTATCAGAAATCTTACTCGTTTGCTGCGCTCACTCGTTCGATTTCTGATACGTCAACAACTCGTGTGTAAATACCGTACACCAGCACTTGCCATGAAGTATTCTCTATGTATTGCACCTCCCCCACTAAATGGAATGGTACATTGTAGTCTATCACAAGTTTTCCCCCCAGCAGTACAGCATGTGTGTCACTTACTAGAAGGGATACCTAATGTAGCAAAGCTTCTTTTCCAAGAACGAAAAACAATAGCAAAGCTTAACCTGCAGGACCTACAGATCTTAAGTTTGAGTTACTCGCCCACCATGTCTCCGCTCTGTTTCAAGGATCCCAATAAATTGACTGGATGCCATTTCATTCATCACAATTTCCTTACACACTGTCTACCTTTCAAAGCCTTTTTCCTCCCAGACTGCTTATCTGTCCATAGGTATGGCTGAAAATAATTATATTGGTTAATGTGCCTACAGGCTGGTAAAGGGTTATCCTCCTTGCTTAAATGCATTACATGCCTCCACCACAATGGCTGTATTCACACTAGAGACGGATTATCAATCTGAGACAGGTTATCTGTTGGATAATTCACATCATATAGATAATACATACATCTTAATTTTGGATGGAGGAATCTGCCCGACTTTATCCATCTGTTCTTCCCTCAATTTTGATGGATTTTGTAGATGGATCATCCGTCTCATGTGGATAATCCCTCTCTAGTGTATATATGGCCAATTTTAATAGCACCTTCTCTTAACCTTAGAGGGTTACATGTAATACAAGTTGATGGTAAAACTAATTAACTTACATTTTTCTTACCATTTCCAATCCTCTTGGATAATTTTTGTAAGGTAGTTTTACTAACTGATGCAACTTGTGAATAGTCGTCTTCGATCAAACCCACTAGTAAATTCACCATTGTAGAAACGCAGGTTTGTAACGACCCCAAACAGTTTGTGAACAGCTTGTCACAAAACTTGATGAGTGAAAGTCGCACTTTCCAGTTAGGATGCATGGAAATGATCTTCATCCTTTCCATGACAATTTTCAACTTTGATGCTGTGTCTCTTAACCAATCAGCAGTCCTGTTAACTTTCAAGCTCTGAATTTTATCTTGCTTTTCAGGGTTTGAGTCGGAAATGTTCGCCTTTTCATTCGCTAGTTCTCCAACAGAGTTCAATTCAGTTGTGAAAGAAAAAAGTTGTGAGATGACATCTTCATTCTCTGCTGGTTTAACTGGGATATACTTGTCATTCATCACAAGAGAGAGAATCTCACCCCAAAGTTCAACTGCTTGCATAACAACTGCATGTCCTTGCTTGGTGTCCCCGGTGATGACTCGACACAAAGATATTGATATTCCAGGAATAAAGGAGGCAAAGGTAAGAGACAATGAATCCTTGATTGCATTTTCTAATGCCTCTCTATCTTCATCTTGCTTTAAATGTTCACCACTTTTAGTTTCACTGCACAAGGCAAGGTTAACCAGACAACCAAGAGCACTTAATTTTAAGTTTTTAGCTTTCTCTTTCTCAGCTAATGCAAGTAAAATACTGACTGAGTGTCCAAGGACAGGTAAATAACGTGGTGAAAAGAAAGCACCTTTAACAACCAGAGAAGTGTGATGGATCAGACAAGACAGGCAATTTACGATAGCGAGTTTCAGTTCTTCTGGTATATCAGCAACTTGACCGAGACCACTATCTTTTGAATTCAGAAGCATACACAAATAACTAAAAATATCTTCAAAAGTGCCCAGCTGGGAAACACAAGTGCGTTTAAACAGAGTTTCCATGCATCCAACAGCGGTTTCTTGTAATTCGTTTGTGGCATTAGTGCTCTGTAGCGCAAGTTTCAGTGGAAACAGCACATACTCTACTAGCTGGGATAGATGAGTGGCATCTACATTTCGTAGTTTGCATTCGAGATCCTTTATGTTTTGAGGAGATGGTTCCTTCGACAACTTAATGCATATGGGACGAAGTTGCCTGAATGATTCACTTGGATCAAGGCCCATTTTAGTTCATCACGATCAGCTGCTCAATCAAAGAAGCCACCATATTGGATTTGAAAAACTTCTACTTCATGGAAACTTCACCAAGTTTCTTTTGCATTCCCTAAGGTACGGACGGGCTTACTAGGATGGGGTGGCAAAATTAAGAGGATAGTGGAAATAAATATACTGGTCAAGCTGGAAACAAAAATATGACGGCTTTTAAATTAACCAAAATACTGACGTTTAATGGTTTGTATGCGGCCAGAACTCTGTTCCCTTGTTCCTGGGACGGAATAGGATTCTTCTTACCGCCCCCCCCCCACTCCTGCGCGCAAAGGAAGACGGGAAAGAGACAACGGGCGAGACGACCACCGCGGTCAAACGTCTAAATCAGGGGGGCTAAATCGTTATTTTTGTTTACACGATGGTCGGTTGCTAAGGAAAATGCTCCCATAAACAAACCCGGGTCACGTGACCACGCGGTATCAAGCATCAGTGTTTGTAGCGCCGGAATATATACAAATCATGTGTAGTCACTTCTCTATCCCCTCCCTCCATGAAAAAACAATTCCCTAGCCTCCCATTGGCAAAACCAATAAAAAGGGGGCCTTGACCACTATCAGTACGGTCGGGTTACCCCGAAACGATTCTTGTTTTGCCAAAATTTTCATTTCAATTGAGGCACTATTTTCGTCATTTTGGAGTTTAAACTCACACTGAGATTGTTTTCAGCAGCATGTTTTTGTTTTGAAGGGAAAAGAAGGTAAAAATAAATGATCTGAATTCGGAAGTCTTCACTTCTTTTGTGCGCTTTATGCACCTATCAATGTAAAGCCGGCGGGGGGAGGCCAGGGCATGGGGTGGGGATTTGATTGTCTTTGTTGTCCCTGGGGTAGGGCATTTGACTGATCTTGCTCTCCCGGGGGAGGGGACATTTGAATCTTTCTTCGCCCGACGTGGAGATATTTGACTGCCGACTCGGACGAAAAAGACTGAGACCGAACATATGTTTCCCGCTTCCACGCTTCACGCATGCGCCATACGGTTTGAAAAGATCAGGAAGTCATGGAGGCCAATGAGAACAAGCGAAGGCTGAGTAGATTTCACTGTTTTGTCTTCCAGTTTCGTTTGTTTTAGCGTGTTTTTGATCAATTGAACCTCTTGAAATACTGTGGTATCAAAGTAAACGGAAGTAAAGAGAAACCAAGTCGATTTTTGCAAGTACAATTGATTAGTGTAAGACTCATTCGCTACAATCACTGTAAACTTATAAAACTGACTTTCTTTGTACCCTTTACTGAGAACGGTATATTTAGACTTACAAAATGTGGACTTTCTCCTAAAGGTTTATGTATTCTACGCAGTGTAACACGGATTGTGGTTAAAACGTATAATTGCAGCTGTAACAGGAACATGTATCTTTGGTGATGCAGCAACGTTTATAAAAGATTTCAGAGTTTTATTTGGAGATACTTTTATTGTGCCTTTCTTAGATTCTGCCTTGCGATTGTCATTGACAGCAATGTGCAGCCCGGGGTGGGGAAATTTGGTTGCATTTGACGGGAATGATTTGCCCGTGGGCAGGGAATTTGACTGAAAATTTTTGAAAAAAGTCAAATCCCCACCCTATGCCTTGCCTCCCCCCCCCCCCGCCGGCATTACATTGATAGGTGCATTACGCTAAAAATGCTCAAAATGGCCGTTTTCACCGTCCCCTAGTGCAATTTCTTCCAGTATCTTTTTGCTTCCCCCTGAAACCACGGCAGTCCCGAATTCAAATCAAAGTTCATTCATCATGGCGTCCGTTTCGGGAGAACAAGGCAGTGAAACAAGGTAAAAAAACGATGTTCAAACCCCCTTTTTGATCGGCAGTCATGCACAGGACGCCATGTTGGATTTTCCCTTTCCAGACCGGCTGTGTATAAAAGTGGGACGGGGACAAGGGGACGGGGACGTCGGGACGCGTGTTTGGGGACTTGGGACTTGGGGACGCGAGACGAGGGACTTGAGGACATCAAGTATGGGACGCGGGGACGTGTGGGGCGGGGACGCGGGGACGTCAAATACGGGGACGAGGGGGACGTGGAATGTGAATGATTATTACAAAAGTCAGGAGGTAAATGCAATGTCTCTGTGTTATTTATGGTCAACATTAGATTCCATCTTCCAAAACCACATTGGACACCTCATGATGTTGACACAAAATATTTCTTTATAATTCAAAATCTATTTGGAATCGAATGCTGTTACTCTACATAAATTTTGGCGACTGCAACCCACCCTACCCTGCTTTGGGCTCTAATATTCCATCAACAAGAAGACCAGAACAACGGTTTCACTTTCGTCAATGCTGGGGGTCTTCGCCGAGTCTTAGCTTCGTAAATAGGCATGGAGGAACCCTAAGGAGGGCAGGGTGGGTTGCCTTCACCAAAGTGACTGACATCGCATTTACCTCCGACTTTTGCAATAATCATTCACATCCCGCGTCCCCTACGTCCCTGTATTTGACGTCCCCGCGTCCCCGTCCCACACGTCCCCGCGTCCCATACTTGATGTCCTCAAGTCCCTCGTCTCGCGTCCCCAAGTCCCCAAGTCCCCACACACGCGTCCCGACGTCCCCGTCCCCTTGTCCCCGTCCCACTTTTATACACAGCCTTCCAGACCGTTAATTTTCTTTGAATGGATTGCCTTAGTGTTCTATTTTTCACCGTTTTAGTTCGACTCGTCTGTGTGCGAAAAGTAGGAAATGCAGCAAGAAGTTTGAGTTTGAGTTTGAGTTTGAGTTTTATTATTTCCCACAATATTATACAGTACATACGGTGTGTTGAAATGTAATAAATTTGGGAGGAAGACTAAGGAAACCCTTACGGGCTTTTACAAGTAGTCTCCCTGAAGGTAACAAAAGATCTATTGAATTTCATTGAAGTGGTATCAGTGAAATAGGTATAATTAACGGACAGAGATACAATAATTGATCTTACACATATATTACAAATATTTCACTCTGTTCTGAGTACCTATCTACAGTACTATCACTATATGGGATAGGAGAAAGGGGTTGAAAGATCTACTTGAATTACTGAAATCGAAATACAGCCACAGTGGAAGATGCGACTCAAATCGAACTGTTACAAACAGGTTTTGGGTGAATTCTAGGTCACAAGTCTTGAATAAATTGAAGCGTGACTTTAGGGGAAAGGCTGAAAAGAAAGAAGAGGTAATAGCGGAAAAATTTGCCCGCATAAACGAGAAAGAAGAGGATCTTAAAGTAAAAGAAGAGGATCTTAAAGAAAAGGAAGAGGATCTTAATGACAAAGAAAGAGAAGCGACGGAGAAACTATCTCGTATGGAAACTTCATCCGAGGAAATAGGTAAGGGTTGCAATTATGTCATATATATTAAACTGTGCGTTTGGCACAGTATCTTTATTTAGCAATTTGAAAAAGAATCGATTTAAATTAATGGTGTTTACATTAAAAAAAAATTGGCGGCCGGGGGAAGCAGAAATGTGAAACATTTCAAAAAAATAATGATGTATTTTTGATTTACATTAACAGCACAAAAGTTGGAGGAAACAAAAGGTCAACAAGAACAGTTGACCAAAGAGATGGAAGAGAAGCAAAAGGCTCTGGATGAGATTAACAGCAAATATGAAAAGCTAAAGCTTTTATTGGAAGAGAGAGGATATGCAAGAACAAGAAGGCAGAACGTTGAGACTACTTTTGAAATGATAAATAACAGAACCTCTACTACAAGATTTAGACGTAAACTAGAGACTAAAAATATTCTGCAGTTTATTCATGGTGGGGAAGAAGGCTCACTATATGGTGCTTGGGACTACCTTAGATCTCATGCATCCCTGAATTAATGGATAAACTTATAAGTGGGTCAAAAGGGGTAAATATTTACAAGGTGTGTTTGGTAGAGCTACAGATAATTTTAATAAATCTGAAGATGCTTTGAAGCAAGCTGTTGCTATGAAATATCATCATCTTTCTAGACGAAAATTTGATTTAGTTTGCAAAACACAAAGTTCTGTTTTTGATCCGAAACAAGAGACATGGTTACCCAGGTGTATTAAACATAAAGATGTGGTTATTTCATTACCTAAAATAGTTAGTGATGCTAAAGTTGACAATTTTGTGAAAAGTCTAGACATTGGTTATGTGTGTCAAATACCTGAAATATGTCCTGGTGTGTCACGCACTGTCACTGGATTAGTATTTATGATTCTTGATTTACACTTGCGGTTACCACACTTAAAGAGAAAGTTGATGTTATTCACCCTGAATAAGAGATTTTGCTGACCGACAAAGGCCTGAACCAGTGCACAATGAAATAAATGCATGGCAGCACTTTCTTAACTTACTGTATAAAGAATCCCTCATGAGGAATGTCACAGAGACATTTCTTCAGGTTTTGAGTGCACCAGTAACAACTGGAAACGAGGAGAAGAAAACATTAAGTGAAGCAAGTGTTTCCCACCCTGAGGGTGCTGGTGAGAGAGTCTGGCAGCATGACCTCCCAACAAATGTATTTACATTCGGCGGAGCTAAACGTAGTGGCAGTTGACAGAGAATGTAAATACTTTCCTATTGGTATGAACGCACGTGAGCCGCTATGGCGTTAATTGACTCTATTGTTGTTAGGTATATAAGGTTTCGACAGTTGTAATGTATTCATCTCAGCTCTCGAACTATCAACTTTTAAAATGCCGTCCGATGCTGATCTCGCACGAAGCATTTCCGAGCTCAAAGACGAGTTTCGTTCCGGTTTATCTTCCTTAAAGAGAGAACTCGCACAAGAACACGACGCTGCGCTGAAGAAGCTCAAGACAGCTACTGCTAGTGTTCCGAAATTTAAAAAGAAAGGCAACGAGAAACAGTTCCTACTCAATTCTGAAGTACTTGAACACGTCCAGTCTGTTTCGTCCGCCCTTCAGGCGTCTTCGCCTCAAGTTGAAAAGGCCCTGGAAGAGCTAAAGGAAGGTGAGAAGAAGCTCTCTCATCGTAACAAGCTCATCCTTATTGCTGATTCCTCCGAAGAGGGGTGGGAAGTCGTAAACGAGTACCAGCGCCGGGATCTTGCTGATGACAGCGACGATGACAAGCGTATAAGACAGGCTGAAGTAAGGGCTTCACAGAAACGCCGCCGTGCTCAACTGGCGAAGAAAAGTTCGTCTCTCCGTCCTCAAAAGCCCTCCAATCCGCCGGTTCCCTCGCTGCCCTACGTCGTTTCTGGTTACGGCACTCCAGTCTCTCCTTCTTATCCTGCCGCTTCTCTACCAGGTTCTAGTTTTTCGAACCCGTTCGGTGCTGTCAATTGGCCTAAGGCTCACCGTGGTTCGCGTGTTGGCAGTTGCTTTGCTTGTGGCAGCTTCGGCCATTTCAGGAATCAGTGCCCCGTCCTTCAAGCACAGTTTTCAGCTAGCCAACCTGGGAAACGTACGTGATGGACCGGGATGTTGGTGCACTCGTCGAGGACACAGATAAGTTAAGGAACTTTGTTGAAGATGATTGTGACTTTTTTGAATATGAACAGGGTCGTAGTTCCACTATTGTTGTTGCCGGTAGGCTGAAATCACATATTCAGTTTTGGCGTTCTATTGGTGCAAGTCAGTTTATTCTAGATGTTATCGAGCACGGCTATCGTATTCCTTTCCACTCTACTCCCCCTGTTAGTTTTTCTAATAATAATAAGTCATCTTTGGCGCATTCCGATTTTGTTAACGAAGCTATTTCCGAATTGTTGGTCACCCATCGCATTTTTGAATCGGAGGTCCTGCCCCATAACGTCAACCCTCTTTCCGTTTCTATTCAGTCATCTGGGAGAAAGAGGTTGATCTTGGACCTTAGGTTTGTAAATAAGCATGTCTGGAAACAAAAGGTCAAGTTTGAGGATCTTGAGGTCGCTTTAAATTATTTTGACAAGGGTCATTTCATGTTTTCATTTGACATTAAGAGCGGTTATCATCATGTGCTTATCTTCCCGCCCCACCAGACATTTTTGGGTTTTTCCTGGTTTTACCAGGGTAAGGTCCGTTATTTTTGTTTTAGGGTCCTGCCCTTCGGCCTCTGTTCAGCCCCTTTTCTTTTCACTAAGATTTTTAGGCCTCTCATTGCGTACTGGAGGCGGGATGGTATTCACATTGTTGTTTATCTTGATGATGGTTTAGGGGAGGGGCCTTCATATCAGGTTGCTTTAGCCCATTCCACCAGGGTTAAGACTGACTTGGTTCGTTCTGGCTTTGTACCCAACCTCGAGAAATCTGTTTGGGCTCCTACATCAGTCCTCGATTGGTTGGGTTTCACGATTGACCTTTTTCAGGGTTTGCTTTTTGTTCCTGGGATTAAGCTCAAGCGGGTTCTTTCCGATATTGATTCCCTTTTAGAGGCTAATTCTTGCACCGCCAGGGAACTGTCCGCTCTTGCTGGTCGTATTAATTCCTTTAAACTAGCTGTAGGTAATGTTACAACACTGATGACAAAGTTTATTCATATGTCCATCGTCCTTCAGCGTGGTTGGGACTCTAGGTTTCCTTTGTCCGATTCTGTCAAAGAAGAGCTTTTTTTCTGGAAAGAGAACGTTCGGTGTTTGAACGGGAGGCCCATTGGGCGTGATTTTTCTTGTTCTCGTTCCATTGTTTATTCAGATGCTAGCGACCTAGGGGTTGGCGGTGTTGTTAAAGACCACGAGGGTGTTATTTGTCATCTTCCGTGGACTGCTAATGAAATGTTTCGCAGCTCCACGTGGCGTGAGCTTAAGGCAGTCTATACTTGTCTCTCCAGTTTTTCTGTAGTTTTGTCAGGGCGCGCGGTTCAATGGTTTACGGATAACCGCAACATTCCGTCCATTATTCACAACGGGAGTATGAAGCGGGATTTGCACGAAATTTCCCTCTCTATTTTTCAGATAGTTTTGCGAAATGGTATTGATTTGCAGGTGGACTGGATTCCTAGACATCTCAATGAGCACGCGGATGCCATCAGTAGGATCGTTGATTTTGATGACTGGGGTGTTTCTTTTGAATTTTTCCGCCTTGTTGACAACATTTGGGGTCCACATTCCGTAGATCGTTTCGCCAATTCCCATAACCGCAAATTACCCAGATTCTTTTCCCGTTTCTGGAATCCTGACTCGGAAGGGGTCGATGCTTTTTGTTTTGACTGGGCGGGGGAGAATAACTGGCTCGTTCCCCCAGTGTCCCTTGTTCCCCGGGTCATTAGGCATTTGGTTGTATGTAGGTCTATGGGCACCCTTATTGTCCCTAAGTGGGTCTCAGCTCCATTTTGGCCCATGCTCTTTGGTCCCCATTCCCCTTTTTCCTTTTGCGTTAAAGGGACCATTCTTTTTACCAATGTTTCTAATATTTTTGTTCCGGGCTCTACAGAGTCTATTTTTTATGGCCCTAAATTTAAGTCTCATGTATTAGCCGTCCGTTTGTCGGCTTGTTAGATCTGTGCTTCTAGGCTTAATTCTTTTCCGCAGTTACGTGTACTTACCTTGTTTAGCCTATATTAAAGTGTGGTTTATTATTTTGAGTGATTTGTTCTGTTTTTTCCTTTGCCTCGGTGGCACTTATGCGGGTCTCGGTGACCTTGTTTGTACCTTCACTGATCCCGACGGGTCATACCGTTACATTCTTTTTGAGTGATTTGTTCTGTTTTTTCCTTTGCCTCGGTGGCATTTATGCGGGTCTCGGTGACCTTATTTGTACCATCACTGGTCCCGACCAGTCGTACCGTTACTTTTTTTGCGTGACCTCGGTCGGTTTTGAATCGTTCCAGGTCTCCCCATATATGTGGTTGCGTGCGCCTCCGTGGCCACTCTCTTATTATCTTATGTACCTGTGTGATAGTTGTATGTTTTTTCTCTACATATTACGCGCGTTTCCTTATTTTCAATCCATATGGTCTCCTATTTCCTCTGTATTTTCAGATGTTTTCGCTAGCCCTATGTGGGCTGAGCTTACCGATGTCAAAGCTCCCTCCCTACGCTGCTTAGCAGAAAAGCTACCGGAGATAGTCCTTGGCTCCAGGGCAGATTCCACTACTCTCACCTACCTCAACGGTTTTAAGCGATGGCGTGCATGGGCCAACAGATTTCCCGAGGTCGCAGTCCTGCCCGCTACTCCGGCTTATGTTTCCTTATACCTGCTCAGTGTCCTCCAGGCTTCTAGTTCTCCTGCACCGGTCCAGAACGCCTTCTACAGCATTCGCTGGGCTCATGATATTGCTGGTTTCGACTCTCCTACCAATCATACACTTCCCCAGAAGGTCGTGGAGTCCGCTAAGAGAAGGCTATTACATCTTACTTCCAAGAAGCTCCCTATTACATCCGAAATTTTACAAAAGTTGTTTCAGAGTCTCGATGGATCATTGGTGGACACAAGATTCATGGCCATGGCGCTGTTGGCTTTTGCGGGGTTCTTAAGATTTGACGAATTGGCTAATCTGAAACTTAAAGATTTAGCGCTGCATGATACTCATTTTGAGCTTTTCATTGAAAGCAGTAAAACTGATCAATATCGCGAGGGCGCTATTGTCCCCATTGTCAGGTCTGGCACGGATCTTTGCCCCTGGGGTAATTTAGAGAAGTATTTAGCGCAAGCCAAACTCACGTTACCTACATCTTCCCAAGGTGGAGACGATTATTTGTTCGGAAATATTCAAACCAAGTCTGGCTCTCAGTCCATCCGCCCAGGCTCCAAATTGTCTTATACAAGATGTAGAGAAGTTTTATTAAAGAAGATTGCAGACGTAGGATTAGACCCTAAGTCTTTCTCGTGGCACAGCTTCAGAAGTGGCGGTGCATCTGCCGCCGCTAATGGTGGTATCTCCGATAGAATGTTTAAGCGCCACGGTAGATGGCGTTCGGAAAACGCTAAGGATGGCTACGTTGCAGACTCGCTAGAGAGCCGATTAGCGGTCTCTATGTCCCTTGGACTGTAGTTGTTTCCCGTTCTTTGTCTTCTCAGCCGCTCCATAGTTCGAGCTGCACACCCATTCCCGTCTCTTAGTCGTGAATATAAATAGGAAATGTATTTACATTCGGCGGAGCTAAACGTAGTGGCAGTGACAGAGAATGTAAATACTTTCCTATTGGTATGAACGCACGTGAGCCGCTATGGCGTTAATTGACTCTATTGTTGTTAGGTATATAAGGTTTCGACAGTTGTAATGTATTCATCTCAGCTCTCGAACTATCAACTTTTATTTTATACCTTACTTTATTGATTGATTTTTTACCTTTAACCCCCAGAGGTTGTGCGACCGCATCGGTTGGGGAATACGTTCCCAATTTTTTCCCATTGGGTTTTTGGGTTTTCGTATCAGGCGGCGCACGTGAATAGTTTAGCCTGAGTGACTTTATTTAGGAATATTTGTATACCATTCTTTAGTTATGATATTGAACTTTGTATGTTATTTGGACGGCATTAAACACTCAGGCTCCATAGTTCGAGCTGCACACCCATTCCCGTCTCTTAGTCGTGAATATAAATAGGAAAGAGTGCTTGTGAGTTTTCAAAATATGTTAATGAAATTGTAAATGCTCATGTTGGGGTGGGGCAACATCTTTTGGGGTGTGGTTTAGCTTTTGTTGCCAGTCTTATAAGGGAACACTATAAAGACAAAGACAAGAGATCCAACAACCTGAGTATTCGCCTTATTGGGGAGCAGGCTATAGCTCTTGCTCGATATTCCTACAGACTTGTAGATGCCCTTGTAGTTCCAAACGAGACACCTGCACAGAAAATTAAACGACTAGCACTTGGAAAGGTTGCACAGTGTTTAAGAGATGCTTGTACATTATTTAACAAAGTAGACACCAATGCTTCAGATGTAAAAAAATGTATTTTAATCTACTGGTAATGTTCTTTGAAGAATCTGTTAATGTGACTGTATAGACTGTTGCATATGCAATTCCCTATCATGCCTCTTTGCTTTTCACCCAATATAAAGTAGGTTATGGCATCATTTCCGTACAGGCGAAAGAATCAAAGCATTCTGGAAATATAAACTCTGACCTTGGACTCACTAATCGATCCAGGTCCACAGGTGAATTAGGTAAATAGTGGCAGGTGATGAGGGCAAACTATGTAAGGGCATTCTATCTCCCAGAACATCAGCCAATGCCCTCATCATACATATCTCATTTTCAATCACGTCTCCCAACATTTTTCGATAAACCCAACTACTGTGGGTGTGGGAGGGAGTGAACTGAGGGTGGAAATTGTACATTTTGTGATGAGTGTGTGGAAATATTACTTTGTTTTAAGGACCAAAAAATTAATGATAGTTTACTTGCAATTTTAAAACCTTTTCTGTGCAATGATTGCCAAAAGAGATTTCCAGATGAACAAACTTTGCAGTCTCACTGCCAATTTAGTCATGCAAGAAGTGATCATGAAGAAAGAAGACCAGCATCCAGAGGGGCAATTATTGATCCTAAGCAACTATCTGTCAAGGACTTAAAAAAAGAGTTGGCGCAAAGGGGGTTACTTGTGACCGGAAGCAAAGATATATTGATTAAAAGGCTTGAAACTGCCCTGAATAAGGAATTATAGTTAAAAAACTTTGCAGACCACCCATCATTTCATGAAATATAATATTATTTTAATGTAAGTAATGAGCATATGTTGAAAATCTACTACTCAAACCAGTGTTAATTCTGTAAATTATATATTCTTAACTTTCATCACTTGACAAATCTGATTTAACAAAATTATATCCTTATACTGCTGAACACATGGCACAGAAAATTATTTATGTGAAAAAATATTTTTCATATCTATTCTTCATGTTAGTGAATCCTTAAACTGCCTTTTCAAAAAAAATTCCTGTTATTAGTTTTACCAAACCAAAATATGTTTTGAATATTACTGTCTTATGTATTATATATCAATGGGTGAGATTTATGGTAGCACCCCAACGTCCTCCACTTATATATAAAAATAAAGTGAAATCACATAGCGTGATTTACATAGCAATGGAAATGACCTTTGCATTTTTTTAAATAAAGTAATTTACTAAAGGTACCATATAGTGAGCCTCTTACTGCTGGTTATATTATTGTATTGTATGATTCTGATCATAAACTACCACTTATACTTCTTTCTTTTACAGATTTATCAGCATTTCCAACTGTAAAGGAAATAATCCTGCATGTGCTAATAAAAAGGAAAATTGTTCTTCAAATATTTGTCTTAAGCTT